TCCCAGTTCAAGTGATTCTTCTGTCTCAGCCTCCGGAGTAGCTGGGCCTACAGGCACGTGCCACCACACCTCACTAATTTTTGTATTTTTTAGTAGAGACAGCGTTTCACACCATGTTGGTCAGGATGGCCTTGATCTCTTGACCTCGTGATCTGCCTGCCTTGGCCTCCCAAAGTGCTGGTATTACAGGTGTGAGCCACTGTGCCTGGACAATTTTTTGTGTTTTTAGTAGAGACCGGGCTTCACTATTTTGGCCAGTCTGGTCTTGAGCTCCTGACCTCAGGCGATCCACTCACCTCAGCCTCCCAGAGAGCTATGATTTCAGATGTGAGCCACTGTGCCCAGCTTTTTTTTCCTTCTCCTCCTCTCCCTCCCCCTCCCCCTCCCCCTTCCTCCTCCTCCTCCTCCTCCTTCTTTCTTCTTTCTTCTTCAGATGGAGTCTCAACCTGTTGCCCTGGCTAGAGTGCAGTAATGCCATCTTGGCTCACTGTAACCTCTGCCTCCCAGGTTCAAGTGATTCGACCGCCTCAGCCTCCCGAGTAGCTGGGATCATAGGCTTCCACCACCACGCCCCGCTAATTTTTTTGCATTTTTAGTAGAGACAGGGTCTTGCCATGTTGGCCAGGCTGGTCTCGAACTTCTGACCTCAAGATATCAGCCTGCCCAAGCCTCCCAAAGTGCTGGGATAACAGGCGTGGGCCACAGTGCCCGGCCCATTTTAAAAAATTGATTTGTTTTTGGCAAAACCCCATCTCTACTAAAAATACAAAAAATTAGCCAGATGTGGCGGCTTGCACCTGTAGTCCCAGCTACTTGGGGACTGAGGTGGGAGAACTGCTTGAACCCAAGAGACAGAGGTTGCAGTGAACTGAGATCCTGCCACTGCACTACAGCCTGGACAACAGAATGAGACTCCATCTTAAAAATAAATAAATAAATAATAAATAGAAATGGGCAAAAGACATGAATAGCTATTTTATTGAAAAAGAAGCTTTTGCTAGGTGTAATGGCTCATGCTTGTAATCCCAACACTTCGATAGACTGAGGTGGAAGGATCGCTTGAGGTCAGGAGTTCAAGACAAGTCTGGACAGCACAGGGAGGTTTTTTTGGTTTGTTTGTTTTGTAGAGACAGGGTCTCCCTATGTGTTCCAGGCTGATCTTGAACCTCTGGGCTCAAGTAATCCTCCATCTTGGCCTCCTAAAATGCTGGGATTACAGATGTGAGCCACTGAGTCTGCAATAAAAAAAATTTTTTAAAAAGCTGGGCGCGGTGGCTCACACCTGTAATCCCAGCACTTTGGGAGGCCGAGGCGGGTGGATCACGAGGTCAAGAGATCGAGGCCCTCCTGGTCAACATGGTGAAACCCTGTCTCTACTAAAAATACAAAAAAAATTAGCTGGGCATGGTGGCGCATGCCTGTAATCCCAGCTACTCAGGAGGCTGAGGCAGGAGAATTGCCTGAACCCAGGAGGCGGAGGTTGCAGTGAGCCAGGATCATGCCATTGCAGTCCAGCCTGGGTAACAAGAGCGAAACTCCGTCTCAAAAAAAAAAAAAATTAGCTGAGCATGGTGGCCTGTGCCTGTAGTCCCAGCTACTGCTGAGGGGAGCTGGGCAGGAAGATTGCTTGAGCTGAAGAGTTCCTGGCTGCAGTGAGCTGTGATCACACTGTTGCTCTCCAGCCTAGGTGACAGAGCAAGATCCCATCACAAAAAATAACAATGACAAAAAAAGAAATTTAATTAGCATATGTCTTATATGGCAATCCGTTCTGGCTGCCATAACAAGATACCATAGACTGGGTGGCTTAAACAACAGAAATTTACTTCTCACGGTTCTGGAAACTGGGAAGTCCAAGATCAAGTCGCCAGCAAGGTAGGTTTCATTCTAAGGCCTCTTCTCTTGGCTTGCAGGCAACCATCATCTCACTATGTGCTCACATAATCTTTTGTTTCTCTCTCTCTCTCTTTCTGCGTGTGTGTGTGTGTGTGTGTGTGTGTGTGTGTGTGTGTTTGTTTGAGTGAGAGAGAGAGAGATCAAGTGTGTCTTCTGAAAAGGACACTAATCACATCAAGATGATCCCACCCTAACGACCTCATCTAACCCTAATAACCCTATCTCCAAACACCATTACATTGGAAGCTAGGGCTTCAGTATGTAAATTGTGGAGAGGACACAATTTAGTCTATAGCAGCTTATAAACTTTTTTTTTTTGAGACAAAGTCTTGCTCTGTTGTCCAGGCTAGAGTGCAGTAGCACAATCTCAGTTCACTGCAACCTCCACTTGCCAGGTGCACGTGATTCTCCTGCCTTAGCCTCTGGAGTAGCTGGGATTACAGGCATGCCCCACCATGCCCAGCTAATTTTTTTTTTTTTGGTACTTTTTGTAGAGACAGGGTTTCACCATGTTGGCCAGGCTGGTCACAAACTCCTGACCTCAGGTGATTCACCTGCTTTAGCCTCCCAAAGTGCTGAGATTACAGCTGTTACCCACTGTGCCTGGCCATCAGCCTATAAACATCTTTTTACTGCCCAATCTCATCAATGATCAGGGAATATAAATTAAAATAAAAGTGAAATACCATTTTATACCCACCAGATTATACAAAATCAAAACATCTGATGATATTAAGTGTTGAGAAGGATGTAGAATGAGACTTCTCATTCACTGCTGGTGGAAAGTAGGTTGAATAAGAGTTAAGTATTTGCTAATGAAATTTGTGATGAACATACCCTACATTCCAGCAATTTTGCTCTTAGATATATATGCTAAAGTGCATACAATAAAAATGTAGGGACTAATCTCTAAATTTAACATTTTATTTGGGAAGCAAGAATTGCAATTCAAAGCATATACGCAGACTGGGTGTTCTTTGGTTCACTTTGAGGTTTTACAAGAAGGAGAAATGTTACATACGGTTTTGAAAGAAAGTTCATTAGCACTACACAAGTTTTAGGTTGCTGGCAAGCTCTGATTGGTGAGTGACTGCAGTGGGTAAAACTAGTCCTTTGCGGCTGGGCTCAGTGGCTCACACCTGTAATCCCAGGACTTTGGGAGGTTTAGGTGAGTGTATCACTTAAGCCCAGGAGTTCAAGATCAGCCTGGCAACATGGTGAAACCCTGTCTCTACAAAAAAGACAAAAATTAGCTGGGCTTGCTGGTATACACCTGTAGTTCCAACTATTTGGGAAGCTGAAGTGGCAAGATTGATTGAGCAAAGCAAGTCCAGGCTGCAGTGAGCCCTGATCACACCACTGCACTCCAGCCTGGGTGACAGAGAGACCCTGTCTAAAACCAAACCAAACAAAAACACAACAACAACAACAACAACAACAAACCACCACCAAAAAACCAAACTAGTCTTTGAGTCATGGCAGGTTGTTTCAGTAGCTATTGGGTAAAACTGGTTTCAGATTATAACAGGCAGTTTCAGCAGTCAGGCTTGCAGAGAATTACATTCTTTAAGCAATGTAATGTGCCCTCAGTGCTTCCCCTCCCAATGTTTTCACTGGATATGAGAAGAATGACCCAATTTGTATGCTCAGCTTTCATAGGTGTAACCCAGTAGTAAATCATGAAATTGATTTTAGTGGTGTTGAAGTATAATTTTCTGAAAAGTAAAATCATGACTCTCTTACAAATATAAAATAAATATGTATCAAATATTTTTATCTCATTAATTAATAAGGGAGCCAGTAAGGTGTTTAGGAATGTAGCATGAATTTGCTAAAAATCAGGAATGTTTAAACAAATTTGCTAAGAAGGGTAAAAATGGTTTACTATGCTATAGATCAATAAAACATAATGTTTTGGTGTATCTTTTCTACAGATGAGCAAGAATTATTATTATTATTATTTTTGAGACGAAGTCTTGCTCTGCCATCCAGGCTATAGTGCAGTGACTGATCTCGGCTCACCACAACCTCTGCCTCCCAGGTTCAAGCAATCCTCCTGCCTCAGCCTCCCAAGTAGCTGGAATTAAAGGCACCTGCTATCGCATTGGCTAATTTTTGTATTGTTTTAGTAAAGACAGTGTTTCACCATCTTGGCCAGGCTGGTCTCGAAATCCTGGTCAGGAGTTCCTGTGATCCACTCGCCTCGGCCTCCCAAAGTGTTGCTATTACAGGTGTGAGCCACCGCGCCCGGCAAGAATTATTTTAAGTACTAATCAGTTTTCTGGTAAAATACTTTAGTCAATAGAAAGTCAGAGCTCCCTGTGGATTCAAATCCTTTCAGCCTTACACTGAAAGGGCACCCAGTAATCCCTTTTCCTTATTTCCAAGTCTTCAACAATGTTTGCTGAAAATTGGTGCCTGTTAGCAGTTTTTGGTAATGAAATAGAAAAGAAGGAATAAAAATTTTGTGCATTGCAGGTCGTAAGTGTAAACACAGTTTTGTGAAGATTTTGTTTCAGGCCGGGCCCGTCGGTTTACACCTGTAATCCTAGCACTTTGGGAGGCCGGGACGGGAGGATCACTTGAGTTCAGGAGCTGAAGACCAGGCTGGTCAACATGGCGAAACTCTGTCTCTACTAAAAATACAAAAAATTAGCCTGGCGGTGTTGGAACAGGCATGTAGTCCCAGCTACTCAGGAGGCTAAGGTGGGAGGATCACCAGAGCCGAGGAAGTTGAGGCTGCAGTGAGCCGAGATGGCAACACTGTACTTCAGCCAGACCCTGTCCCGTAAAAAAGAGAAGGAAATATGTGGTATTGGGTTTGATGTAAAGTATTTTTGTTTCACTGTTGGCTGAGATCAAAACAGTTTAAAAGCCACTAATGTGACACATGAGGTTAAACAGTGAAAAAAAACTGGACTTTTGAGTTCCTCCTTCCCCAAAGTAAGCATCCCTTCAGTGCCGGGCTCAGTCATGCAGACTAAGAAAATGATTTGAGAGAATGGTACAGAAGCACCGTGCCAGGAGTTCGGGTAGTCTCTCCTTAACACTGAGATCCGCGGCCTTCCTGGGACACCCCAGGAATCAAGAATGCAAGAGGCATGGAAAGGGTGAGCCAGCCGGCCAACAGGCAGGAGCGGAGGCTTGCAGCTGGGCAGTTGGTCTGCGGGGAAGCAAGTCCAAGCCCGGGGCCCCAGCAGTGGGCAACTAAAGGCGCCGGCGGCCCCGCCACCCGCGAGCGGAAGAACCCCGCGCACGCGCAGTGAAAGTCCAGGGCCGGTGAAGCGTCGGAAGCCCCTTCACCCAGCCCGGCTTCGCGTCCGGTCCTCGGGGGAACCGCACGGCCCTGTCACTCCCGCCTCGTCACCCACGCAGGGTTTCCCCCGCCCCCCAGCCGGGGCCGGTCACGACTGCGTGCGCAGAGCCTGAGTGGGCGCTGGAGGGAAGGGGAAGCGGCGGGTAAGGAGGGCCTGCTTCCGGGCGCGTCTCTGACAGGGTTGGGAACTTCCTTCTCTACTGTCTCGGGCTTTCCGGAGAACTGGAGTGAGAGGACCCTCTAGAACTGTGTGTCCTCGCCTTTCCTCCGGCTGCCGCATGCCTTCCTCCGACAGTCTTTACGTGTTGCCCTCCCCAGACCTTCTCCTCCCGACCGCTCCTGCCTCCCGCACCCCCACTGGGGGATCCTGAGGCCATGCCTGCAGTCCCTCCGTTGTAGCCTCGCTTGTCTGAGATGCCTTCCCTGACCTTTAGGTAGCGCGGGAACGATTATCAGCTTTTAGTGTAGCAGCAGCAGTTTAGGGTTAGCTCTGTAGGTCGGGCCCCCAACTCAAGCACAAAGAACCTCGGACGTTTTGACGCTTGTCTGGGATGTTCTTTTTGACACGCCTCTGCTGAAGCAGCTTCCACATGTTCTCAGCAGTGAATTCAAAGCCAGCAAACATAGGTCCGCTTTAGTTCCTCTGGGCATTTCCACCGTTTCCTAATAATCTGCTTTTATTTTTCTGCATTTTTTTTTTTTTTTTGAGACAGTCTTGCCCTGTCGCTCAGGGTGGAGTTCACTGGCGCGATCACAACTCACTGCAGCCCCTCGACTTGTCGGGCTGTAGCCATCCTCCCATCTCAGCCTCTTAAGTACCTGGAAGTACAGGCGTCCCCATTAGACCCAGTTAATGTTTAAAAATTTTTTTGGCGGCCAGGTTGCGGGGGGGGTCCCTCTATTTTGCCCAGGCCAGTCTTGAACTCCTGGACTCAAGCAATCCTCCCGGTAGGGCCTACCAAAGTGCTGGGATTACAGGTGTGAGCCACCTTGACCAGCCAATAATCTGCTTTTCAAATTTGGGGCACATGAGGCACGTCCCTTATATCCCTATGCAATGTCACAGAACTGTGCTCTTTTCCTTTGTAAATATGGTTTTCCATTTTTTGTAAATATTTCCTTTGTAAATAGCATCCCACATGCTACCTTTTGGGATGATGTTCCTACCCCACTGAAAGTGGGGTGGTGTCAGCAGTTACTGAGAAGCATGGTAACAGACTAGTATTTCTGTTGTCTGCTACCCGAAGGATATTCAGTCAAATCCTTCTTGGTAGCAGGAGGCAGCATTTTAGCTAAGTGGCTGTGCTTGATGCCTTGAAATAAGGGACAGAGGAAGTACTTTGTAATTAAACCACTAGGGTTTTTTTTTTTTGAGATGGAGTTTCGCTCTTGTTACCCAGGCTGGAGTGCAATGGCAGGATCTCGGCTCACCGCAACCTCCGCCTTCTGGGTTCAAGCACTTCTTCTGCCTCAGCCTCCTGAGTAGCTGGGACTACAGGCACACACCACCATGCCCAGCTAATTTTTGTATTTTTAGTAGAGACAGGGTTTCACCTTGTTGACCAGGATGGTCTCGATCTCTTGACCTTGTGATCTACCCACCTCGGCCTCCCAAAGTGCTGGGATTATAGGCGTGAGCCACCACGTCCGGCCTACCACTAGGGTTTTAAATGTGCTGACAGAGAGAAATGGGAAACAGAAAAAAAACATGCTTTCTTCCCCATCCCTTTTTTCTTTTTAAATTAAATTAAATTTTTAAAAGTGGGGCAGGTCGGATTCGACTCTCCTTGCAGCTGCTGGAAAGCAACCGGAGGTAGGTGCCCCACCTGCCCCCTGCTTTTTTTTTTTTTTTTTTTTTTTTTTGAGACAGTCTTTCTCTGTTGCCCTGGCTGTAGTGCAGTGGTACAATCTCGGCCCACTGCAACCTCTGCCTCCTTCATTCAAGCGATTCTCCTGCCTCAGCCTCCCGAATGCTGGGATTACATGTGCCCACCACCAAGCCTGGCTTTTTTTTTCTCTCTTTTTTTTTTTTTTGAGACAGAGTCTCGCTCTATCGCCAGACTGGAGGGCAGTAGCACGATCTCAGCTCACTGCAACCTCCGCCTTCCAGGTTGAAGTGATTCTCTTGCCTCAGCCTCCCAAGTAGCTGCGACTACAGGCGTGCGCCACCATGCCCAGCCGATTTTTGCATTTTTAGTAGAGACAGGGTTTCACCATGTTGGCCAGGATGGTCTTGATCTCTTGACCTCGCAATGCCCGCCTTGGCCTCCCAAAGTGCTGGTATAACAGGCGTGAGCCACCGTGCCCGGCTTTTTTTTTTTTTTTGAGACAGGGTTTTGCTCTATCATATAGGCTGGAGTGCAGTAGCGCCATCTCAGCTCACTGCAGCCTCTACTTTCCTGGCTCAGGTGATCCTCCCTCCTCAGCCTCCCCTGAGTAGCTGGGACTACAGGCCTGTATTATCGCACCTGGCTAATTTTTTTTGTATTTTTAGTAGAGACTGGGTGTAGCCATGTTGCCCAAGCTAGTTTCAAACTCCTGGACTCAAGTGATCTGCCCACCTCAGCCTCCCAAAGATCTGGACTTATAGGTATGAGCCACTGTGCCCAGCCCCTTTCACCCTCTTTTAATAATTTATTTTTTACTCCAATTTGGGTGACAGTGAGACTCTGTCCCCCAAAATACAGATTTTTAAAATTGATACATAATGATTATTTTATATTTATATGTATCGGGTACAGTGTGATATTTTGATACATGTATAGAATGTGTAGAATGTGTAATGATCAAATCAGGGTAATTAGCATATTTGGCACCTCAAACACTGCTTGCTTTTATATGCTAGTTATATGTAATATGTTGATATTCTGTAGATGGTGATAGGAAGTTTTAGCAGCTACTTTCAAACCTCTCAAATTTCTCAGCAAGTTAATTCCTAGAAAGTCATGATAATCAGCCTTGTTATTTCGACTTTGATAAGTTTAAATACTGTAAACGTAACCATTTTTTCTATCATCAGCCCACACTATGTCTTATTATCAATTGTATTTAAACTTTGATAAGTTTAAATATTGTAAATATAACCATTTTTTTCTACCATCAGCCCACTCAATGTTTTTTTTTTTTTTTTTTGAGACGGGGTTTCACCATGTTGGTCAGACTGGTCTCGAACTCCTGACCTCAGGTAATCCACCTGCCTCGGCCTCCCAAAGTGCTGAGATTACAGGCATGAGCCACCGTGCCCGGCCCACACTATGTCTTATTATCAATTGTCAATTATATCTAAATTACAAAATCTTAGTCATCTTAAATTTCCCTTTGCTGTTCTATATCTCTTATATTACAGGATCTCTTGGGTTCTTTTTTTTTTTTTTTTTTTTTGAGACAGAATCTTGCTCTGTCAGCCAGGCTAGAGGGTGGAGGGTAGTGGTACGATCTCAGCTCACTGCAACCTCCGTCTCCTTGTGCCTTAGCCTCCCAAGTAGCTGGGATTATAGGCCGGTGCCACCACGCCTGGCTAATTTTTGTATTTTTAGTAGAGATGGGTTTTGTCTGTTGCCCAGGCTGGTCTCGAACTCCTGGATTCAAGTGATTTGCATGCCTCAACATCCCAAAGTGCTGGGATTATAGGCATGAGCCACCGTGCCCAGCACTTTCTTTATTTAAAAAGCAATCTAGAAACAAAAAACAAAATGAAACGAAAACGCAGTTTAGAACAGGCGCGGTGGCCTAATAATTCCTGTGCAGTGTGATGTGGTGGAACCATCCTGGATTTAGAGTAAGAAAGCCTGAAGTCAGATACTGAGATTGTCATACTAACATTGTATCCTTGGGGAAACTTTGAGCTTCAGTTTCCTTTCCTCTCATTTTAGATAAGATTTTTGTTTCTTCTCACCTCTTAATTATTGTAATAACTACCACTGATATATAATATGTGGAGAAGCTAAAAGTTAAAAAACAAAACAAAACCCAGGCCAGGATCAGTGACTCATGCCTGTAATCCCAGCACTATGGGAGGCCGAAGCCAGTGGATCATGAAATCAAGAGATCAAGACCATCCTGGCCAACATGGTGAAACCCTGTCTCTACTAAAAGTACAAAAATTAGCTGGGCATGGTGGTGAGCGCCTGTAATCCCAGCAACTCAGGAGGCTGAGGCAGGAGAATCACTTGAACCCAGGAGGCAGAGGTTGCAGTGAGCTGAGATGGTGCCACTGCACTCCAGCTTGGCAAAAGAACGAGACTCCATCTCAAAAAAAAAAAAAAGCATAAGCTATTGTTATTTCTCTTTGTTCTCATTCATTTCACGAACACTGGAAACCTAACATATGTTACGAAAGGTATAGCCCTTAAAGGGCTGTCTTTCAAGGAGCTTTCAGACTGTGTGTGTGTATGCTAGGAGTAGGGTAGTAGGGTATTTGATAAGGTAGACTATACTATAGAATGTAAAACTAATAAGCTTAGGGTAAGCAACAAACCCAGATGAATTTGGGACCATATTTCCACAATTCCAAGAGAGGAACAGGGAAAGGTTCCTGGAGGAAGTTATATTTGAACAAAGTCTTGAATTATAACAAGGATCTCGAAGGGCTTTGTGTGCTACAGGAAGTGCACACATTGAAGAATTTTAAGCAGTTAGCCTAATCACAACTGCTTTTTGAAAGTTTATATTGGCTGTGATGTGTACTTTGTTAACTTCCTTTGTGCTTTATTATTATTATTTTACTCTATCAAGAAGGGCTTATATTCTCTCCTCATACCTTAATATTAACTGTTTATCTTTCAGTTTCTAGTGTAGGTCTATTTTTTGTGTGAAGCATTATCCAATTATTTTAGTCCCCTACTTATTTGTTCTCTAAAACCATGTTAGAAATGCTAATAGTACCACACTTTAGTTCTTATTTGTTTTATGTCCTTAAGTAGATTTTAAGTATAGAGAATGTTTCTTATGTATGAATAGAAAGCATGTTAAAAAAAATTTGTTGCTTGATCTCTTTGTATTTTGTTTTTCAGTGTAGTAACACATTATGGGCAATAGTCCTTTTAATTAATCTGTCATCATCATGGCTAATGAGGGCTATCCCAAGGCTACAGATAGTCCTTTTTCATCAGATAAACATGCCCAACTCATCTTGGCCCAAATCAATAAAATGAGAAGTGGACAGCATTTCTGTGATGTGCAGCTGCAAGTTGGAAATGAAACTTTTAAAGCTCACCGGCTGGTTTTGGCTGCCAGCAGTCCTTACTTTGCAGCTTTGTTCACTGGAGGAATGAAAGAGTCTTCAAAAGATGTTGTACCAATTCAAGGAATTGAAGCTGCAATCTTTCAGATACTTCTAGATTTCATTTACACAGGTATGTTACATGAGCCTGTTGCTTTTAGTGAAGAATGATTCAATCACTCATGCTCTAATGGGGGAATATAAATGGATCTAACTTATCAAGAAGGTAACTTAGCAACATGTTATTATGAAGCTGAAAATTTCGTATCTTTTGACCTGGTGCTCCTTTTCTAGGAATCTGAAGGAATTAGTGATGCGGGCAAATATTTACATACCAGGATTTTATTGTAAAATTATTATTATTATTATTATTATTATTTGAGACAGAGTCTTATTCTGTCATCCAGGCTGGAGTGCAGTGAGTGGCACGATCTTGGCTCACTGCAACCTTGCCTCCTGGGTTCAAGCAATTCTCCTGCCATAGCCGCTTGAGTAGCTGCGATTACAGGCGTGCACAAACACACCCAGCTAATTTTTTTTTTTTTTTTTTAGTAGAGACAGGGTTTCACCATGTTGACGATGAGTCTTGATCTCCTGACCTCGTGATCCGCCTGCCTCAGCCCCCAAAGTGCTGAAATTACAGATGTGAGCCACTATGCCTGGCCTGTAACATTATTTATAGTAGTATGTAATTTAATAAAATCTTGTCTCAGTAGATTATATGGGTAAATTATGATAATGTATAGATCTCACAAATGAGATCTAACAAATAGTAAAATATATGTACAGTATTATGGAAGAATGTTTATAATACATAAAATTTTAAGAATCAGCATATAAATAAACCCCTATTTTGTTTTAAACAAAACCCAAAAAACATACGTGTACATGAGAAAGAGACCATGACCAGAATATTTGATAGTGTTTATCTGTAGGTAGTTTTTTTCCACAAAGTGCTTATAATCAGCACATGTTATTTTACTCAAACTATTTCTTAAATGTTTTTGAAGAGTTTTAATAACATTAGAGAATGTACACAAGGGCATAGTGGTTCATGCCTGTAATCCCAGCACTTCGGGGGTCCAGTGGGAGAGGATTACTTGAGACCAGAAGTTCAAGACTAGGCAGGACAACATAGCAAGACCCCATATCTAAAAAAAAAAAAATTTTGTGAGACAGGGTCTCTCTCCATTGTCCAGGCTGGAGTGCAGTGATACACACACAGCTCAATGCAGACTTGATCTCCTAGGTTCAAGCAGTGTTACCATGTCATCCTCCTGCATAGCTATGACTACAGTTACATGTCACCATGCCTGGCTAATGTAAACAAAATTTTTTTTGTAGAGACAGGGTTTCACTATATTGCCCAGGCTATAAAAAATTTTTTTTTAATTAGCCGGGTGTCATGGCTTGTGTCTGTAGTCCCAGATAATGGGAGGCTGATGTGGGAGGATCCATCACTTGGGCCCAGGAGTTTAAGGCTGCAGTAAACTGTGATAAAACTGCCACAGCCTGGCCTGGGAGACAGAGTGAGACCCCATCTCTAAGTAAATAAAGTAAAACAACAGGGATGATGAGGAGGGTAGTAGGGATGGGGGAAAGAAAGAGAAGGCACACCAAAACGATGTATAGTCTTTTTTTGTTTTTTTTTTTTTTTTTTTGAGACGGAGTTTTGCTCTTGTTACCCAGGCTGGAGCGCAATGGCGCAATCTTGGCTCACTGCAACCTCCGCCTCCTGGGTTCAGGCAATTCTCCTGCCTCAGCCTCCTGAGTAGCTGGGATTACAGGCATGCGCCACCATGCCCAGCTAATATTTTGTATTTTTAGTAGAGACGGGGTTTCACCATGTTGACCAGAAGGGCCTCGATCTCTTGACCTCGTGATCCACCCACCTCGGCCTCCCAAAGTGCTGGGATTACAGGCTTGAGCCACTGCGCCAGCGATGTATAGTCTTACATGATATGCAACAAATATGCATAGAAGAAAGATTTGAGAGGCTAAGGTGGAAGGATCACTTGAGCCCAGGATGCCGAGGCTTCAGTGAATGATGATTATGCTACTGCACTCCAGCCCAGGCAACAGGACAAAACTGTCTGAAAAAAAAAGAAAAAAAAAATTTTTGAGGAAAGACACTACAGTGTTAATACAATATATGTCTGTATCTTTTCTCGGCCTTTTGTCTAAGATCAAGTGTCATGTATGTCTGTGTATGGAAAAATAAGTTTTTCATTTTCTTTTTTTTTTTTAATTATAGATGGGGTTTCACCATGATGGCCAGGCTGGTCTTGAACTCCTGATCTCAGGTGATCCACCCAACTCGGCCTCCCAAAGTGCTAGGATTACAGGTGTGAGCTGCGCCCAGCCTCATTTTCATTTTTATATTTTTCTGTCTTAAGTTCTTTTTCCACAGTGAATATATATTACTCTTCTTCTTTTTTTTTTTTTTTTTTGTGATGGAGTTTCACTCTGTTGCCCAGGCTGTAATACAGTGGGGCAATCTTGGCTCACTGCAACCTCTGCCTCCCAGGTTCAAGTGATTCTCCTGCCTCAGCCTCCCGAGTAGCTGGGATTACAGGCATGTGCTAACTCACCCAGCTAATTTTTGTATTTTTTTTAGTAGAGGTGGGGTTTCACCATGTTGGCCAGGCTGCTCTCAAACTCCTGACCTCAAGTAATCCGCTCACCTCAGCCTCTCAAGTGCTGGGATTACAGGTGTGAGCCACCGTGCCTAGCCTCTTTTGTTTCTATTTTTATTTTTTGAGACAGAGTGTTGCTTTGTTGCCCAGGCTGAAATGCAGTGGCAAGATCGTTGCAGCCTCGATCTCCATAGCTCAAGCTATCCTCCCACCTCAGCCTCCTGAGTACCTGTGGGACCACAACACACAACACCATGCCTGGCTAATTTTAAAATTTTTTTTTTGTAGAGATGAGGTCTGGCTATCTTGTCCAGAGTGGTCTCAAACTCCTGGGCTCAAGCAATCCTCCCACCTCAGACTCCTGAGTAGCTAGGACTACAGGTGCACATACCACCTAATTTTTTTTTTTTTTTTTTTTGAGGTGGAGTCTTGCTCTGTAGCCAAGGCTGGAGTGCAGTGTTGTGATCTTGGCTCACTGCAGCCTCCGCTTCCCGGGTTACAGCGATTCTCCTGCCTCAGCCTCTTGAGTAGCTGGGATTACAGGCACCTGGTACCACACCTGGTTAATTTTTGCATTTTTAGTAGAAATGGTATTTCGCCATGTTGGCCAGGCTGATCTTGAACTCCTGACCTCAGGTTATCCACGTGCCTTGGCCTCCTAAGGTGATGGGATTACAGGCGTGAGCCTCCATACCCGGCCACACCTGGCTAATTTTTAAATTTTTTGTAGAGACGGGGTTTTGGTGTGTTTCCCAGGCCACTCTCAAACTCCTGGACTCAAGTGATCCACCCGCCTTGGCCTCTCAAAGTACTAGGATTACAGGAATGAGCCACCATGGCCACCTGTTGCTTTATTTTATTTTTATTTTTATTATTTGTTTTTCAGACAGAGTCCCACTCTGTTGCTTAGACTGGATTGTTACAGTCCCCAAATTAAGGTTATCATTGTTTTCTGAAATGTTCCAAAAAGAAATAGAAAATAACAGAGAAATCTCCTTTTGTCATTTTCCAAGTTTAAATACCATGCATTTAAAAAAAGCAACAGGCCAGGTGTGCTGACTCACAACTGTGATCCCAGCACTCTGGGAGGCCAAAGTGGGCAGACCACTTGAGGTCAGGAGTTTGAGACCAGCCTAGCCAACATGGTGAAACCCAGTCTCTATTAAAAATACAAAAATTAGCCAGGGATGGTGGCAGGCACCTATAATCCAAGCTATTTGAAAGGCTGAGGTAGGAGAATGGCTTGAACCTGGGAGGCGGAGGTAGCAGTGAGCTGAGATCGCGCCATTGCACTCCAGCCTCGGTAACAAGAGCGAAACTCCGTCTCAAAAAAAAAAAAAAAAAAAAAAGGATATAAAGCAATTAATGCTACACCTGGTTCATTTTAAGTTTTTCATAAATGTGTTAGGTATTGTTATCATTTAAATTTTTTGCTCTTTACACAAATCTTATTGTTCTAAAGCACATGATTTTCCTCTTTTTTTTTTTGAGACGGAGTTTCGCTCTTGTTACCCAGGCTGGAGTGCAATGGCCCTATCTCGGCTCACCGCAACCTCCGCCTCCTGGGTTCAGGCAATTCTCCTGCCTCGACCTCCTGAATAGCTGGGATTACCAGTACGCACCACCATGCCTAGCTAATTTTTTGTATTTTTAGTAGAGACGGGGTTTCACCATGTTAGATCTCTTGACCTCGTGATCCACCCACCTCGGCTTCCCAAAGTGCTGGGATTACAGGCTTGAGCCACCACGCCCGGCAATTTTCTTCTTTTTTGAGACAGAGTCCTGCTCTCTAGCCAGGCGCCAGGCTGGAGTACAGTGGTGCGATCCCTGCTCACTGCAACCTCCACCTCCTGGGTTCAAGCAATTCTGCCTCAGCCTCCCGAGTAGCTGGGACTACAGGCCCGTGCCACTACGCCCAGTTAATTTTTGTATTTTTAGTAGAGACGGGGTTTTACCACGTTGGCCAGGATTGTCTCGATTTCTTGCCCTCTTGATCCGACCACCTCGGCCTCCCAAAGTGCTGGGATTTTCTTTTTTATGGCAAAAGCATGAACTTTGATGTCAACTCCTACCTTGCAACTTGCTTGACCATACAACTTATGGACAAGTTACTTAAACTTTGATTCTGTTTCCTTAATATGAAAATAAGAAAAATAGCCTGCTGGGTGTGGTGGCTCAAGCCTGTAATCCCAGCCCTTTGGGAGGCAGAGGCGGGTGGATCACGAGGTCAAGAGATTGAGACCATCCTGGTCAACATGGTGAAACCCTGTCTCTACTAAAAATACAAAAAATTAGCTGGCATGGTGGCGTGTGCCTGTAATCCCAGCTACTCAGGAGGCTGAGGCAGGAGAATTGCCTGAACCCAGGAGGTGGAGGTTGCAGTGAGCCGAGATCACACCATTGCGCTCCAGCCTGGGTAACAAGAGCAAAACTCTGTCTCAAAAAAAAAAAAAAAAAAAGAGAAAGAAAGAAAATAAGAAAAATAATAATATCTACCACATGGGATTGTAGTGAGGGTTAAATGAGGATATACAGCAATTAATGCTGCACCTGGTTCATTTTAAGTTTTTTATAAATGTGTTAGGTATTGTTATCATTTAAATTTTGTGCTCTTTACACAAATCCCTGGTTGTCTTTTTTAGCGTTTGTCTACTCTGCAAACCTCAAACTATCAGTGAAATCAAATAGAACACTTTTTGAATATGGTAAGCCAATGTTTGTTTTTATTTTATTGGCCATTTTGTCTTCCTACTTCTCTAGGGATAGTGAACATATGTGTGAGTAATGTCCAGGAGTTGATTGTTGCAGCAGACATGCTACAGTTGACTGAAGTTGTTCATCTTTGCTGTGAATTTCTGAAAGGACAAATTGATCCACTGAACTGCATTGGGATCTTTCAGTTCTCTGAGCAAATTGCCTGCCATGATCTCTTGGAATTCTCAGAAAACTACATTCACGTGCATTTCTTAGAGGTTCATAGTGGGGAAGAGTTCCTGGCCCTTACAAAAGATCAGCTGATCAAAATTTTGCGAAGTGAAGAGCTTAGCATTGAGGATGAATACCAGGTCTTCTTAGCTGCAATGCAATGGATTCTGAAAGATTTGGGAAAAAGAAGAAAACATGTGGTGGAAGTGCTAGACCCAATTCGATTCCCTTTATTACCTCCTCAGAGGCTTTTAAAGTATATAGAAGGTAACTTTTTGTGCTATATATCAAATTAGTTGATTAATTATCCAGTGATGTGTTCTCTGAAATGTGGGAGAGTGTTTTCATTTTTTGGTTCAGTAACAGACATTTACTGAATGACTACTCTTTTTTTTTCTTTTTTTAAACTTATTGAATGATTATGTAAGATACAACTTTTGTGTTTTGTGGGTGGGCAATAAGTATTTTAATATTTAATATGGGTAATATTAAAAAATACCCATTATTTTTATCAAACTCTTTCTTGAGATTGATTACTAAGGCAGATTAGTGTTATAGATAAAATTACTGACAGAGCTAACATAATGACTGCTATTGACAGAACTAATTATTTCCGTGTAAGATTTCCCCTTGCTACTCTGAAAAATTAAGCAAAACCTAATACTTGAAGAAAATGCATACACTAAAAATAAAAAAACTCAATGAATCCTATAAGTTCTTTCATTATAAAATAAATTTGGTATTAGTACGCTATTATAGCCTGAGTAGCCTTTGAATCATCTTTAGATCCTAAACTTAATTCTGAAATGTATTTTACCATAATACAAAGTAGTTTTTATCTTTATATTAGAAAAATTATATTTAAATTTATTTCTAAGAATTACTTTAAGCCAGGTGCAGTGGCTCATGCCTGTAATTCCAGCACTTTAGGAGGCCAAGGCAGGCAGATCGCTTTAGCCCAGGAATTCAAGACCAGCTTGGGCAATATGGTGAAACCCTATCTCTACAACAACAACAACAAAAGCAGAAAATTATCGAGGTATGGTGGCATGCACCTGTAGTCCCAGCTACCTGGAAGGCTGAGGTGGGAGGATCACCTGAGCCCAGGGGCTACAGTGAGCCAGGATTGTGCCTCTGTACTCCAGCTTACTTTAGACTTGGTTTTGAGATTTGAAGTTTTTACTGTTGTCATGCACTGAAACATTATGTTGCTATTGAATTACAAATGATCTTATTACAAGTTAAATACACTACTAAACATTGAAGTTATAATTCTTTAAATACGTAATTTAAAATAATGGATTATTAGTTTTTTCTCCACTCTTAGCAGTGTTAACATAATTTTGTAGGTTTTCCTGAGTGATATCTTGTTTTACTACATATATAGTTGGTTGTTATTTGCAGTAATTATGTTCTATAAGTATGCTATGAACAGAGAATTAGCAAATACTGAATGATGCTCCTAGGGGAAATATAGGTTTATGTTCCTGCAAGCCTGTAGTCACAACGTTTTTGTCACATAGTCAATATAGCCTTGTTTTATATAGGTGTATGCCTAAAAACACCTTATTGAATACGTATTATTGATTTATTAACATTGAACTCATGGCCACCAGTGGTATAACTCATCCCTGAATGAAACTTTATCTAACATAGGCATTTTCTCTGTAAGGCACTTCACAGCTTTCTTGCACTTAGGGGTACTAGGTAATACCTGAACATTATGGTTAGGGGCCATTTTAAACAGTAAAATTACCAACAAAAAGCACAAAAGTGCAAAAAAAAAAAAAAAAAAAAGGACATTAAATAGACTGTGGAAAAGACTATTTGTCTTTTCCACAGTCGATTTAATAAGAGTTGAAATGAGAAGACAGAGTGAAACTTTGTTTGATCTCACCCAGAAAACACATGTAAGGTGATTCACATTTTTTGCCACTTTATGCATGTCTATGAATGACTGCAAAAGAACAAGTACAGTAGTCCCCCTTTACCCATGGGGGATGCATTCTGAAACCCCCCAGTGGATGCCTGAAACCATAGGTAATGCTGAATCTAATGTACATTATGTTTTTTCCTATAAATATGTACCTATGATAAAGTTTAATTTATAAATTAGACACAGTAAGAGATTAATAATAGCTAATAATAAAGTAGAAAAATTATATTCATATTCTGTAATAAAAGTTATGTGGATGTGCTCTCTCTTAAATATTATATTGTCCTTACCCTTTTTCTGGTGATTATATGAGATGGTAAAGTGCCTATGTGATAAAATGAAGTGAGGTGAATGACTTATGCATTGTAATATAGTGTTAGGCTATTATTGAAAACTTGTATAAAACTTAAGATGTGTTGGCTAGGCATAGTGGCTCATGCCTGTAATCCCAGCACTTTGGGAAGCCGAGATGGGCAGATCACCTGAGGTCAAGAGTTCAAGACCAGCCTGGCCAATGTGGTGAAATCTTGCCTCTACTAAAAATACAAAAATTAGCTGGGCATGGTCACTAGCACCTGTAATCCCAGCTACTCGGGAGGCTGAGGCAAGAGAATCACTTGAACCCAGGAGGTGGAGGTTGCAGTGTGCTGAGACCACACCGTTGTACTCCAGTCTGGGCAACAAGAGCAAAACTCTGTCTCAAAAAAACAGACTTAAGAATTGTTTAGGCCAGGTGTGGTGGCTCACTCCTGTAATCCCAGCACTTTGGGAGGCCAAGGCGAGTGGATCACTTGAGGTCAGAAGTTCGAAACCAGCCTGTCCAACATGGTGAAATCCTGTCTCTATTATTAAAAAAAAAAAAAAAAAAAGAATTGTTTATTTCTGGGCGAGGCACGGTGGCCTCATACCTGTAATCTCAGCACTTTGGGAGGATGAGGTGGGCAGATCACTTGAGCCCAGGAGTTTGAGACCAGCCTGGGCAACATGGTAAAACCCGTGTCTACAAAAAATAGAAAAATTAGCTGGGTGTGGTGGCGTGTGCCTGTAGACCCAGCTACTCTGGGTGTGAGGTGGGAGGGTCACTTCAACCCAGGAAGTTGAGGCTGCAGTGAGCCAAGATCGTGCCACTGCACTTAAGCCTGGGTGGTAGAGCCAGACCCTGTCTCAAAAAAAAAAAAAAAAAAAAAGGAATTGTTTATTTCAGGAATTTTCACTTAATATTTTTAGAAATATTAATGGGTAATTGAAACCATGGAAAGTAAAACTGCAGATAAGAAGGACTACTATATTAAATTTGGGGTTACAAATACATTTTAGCAAGTAGGTATATTCACAAATAAGGAATATATCTTATTCCTTATTTAATAGTGTATAGGAATACACTATTTAAATGCTAAAACAAGATATTATCCCGATACACATTGACATGAATCAGGTGAGAATTTAGGAGTGAGACAAAAGCTTTCATGATTGAGTTGATTTTTCCAAGTGTAGCAGACACAGAGTACTAATGGAAATTTCTTCTGCTAGGAGCAAGGCAATGTCCCCTAGAAATGGGGTATGTTTTCTTACAGCTTTTTAAAGTTATAATTTATAAATTAGACACAGTAGGAGTGTCTAATTCAAGTCTTGAGCTGTTTTCTAAGCATGCCCAGTAGTTATCTAGTAAATACTGCAAGGATCAAGGGAGAAGTAAATTGAGTTTTTCTTTTTTCCTTTTTTTTTTTTGAGTCAGAGTCTCGCTCCATCGCCAGGTGCCAGGCTGGAGTGCAATGGCATGACCTCAGCTCACTGCAACCTCCGCCTCCTGGGTTCAAGCAATTCTCCTGCCTCAGCCTCTTGAGTAGCTGGGACTACAGGCGTGTACCACCCCACCCAACTGCTTTTTGTATTTTTAGTAGAGACAGGGTTTCACCATGTTGGCCAGGATGGTCTCAATCTCTTGACCTTGTGATCTGCCCATCTCGGCCTCCTAAAGTGCTGGGATTACAGGGGTGAGCCACCTCACTCGGCCTGATTTTTTCTTTCCCTCCCTCCCTTCCTCCCTCCCTCCCTCCCTCCCTCCCTCCCTTCCTTCCCTCCCTCCCTCTTTCTTTTTCTTCTTTCTTTCTTTCTTTCTTTCTTTCTTTCCTTCCTTCCTTCCTTCCTTCCTTCCTTCCTTCCTTCCTTCCTTCCTTCTTTCTTTCTTCTTTCTGTCTCTTTCTCTCTCTCTCTTTCTTTCTTTCTTCCTTCCTTCCTTCCTTTCTCTCTCTCTTTCTCTCTCTCTTTCTTTCTTTCTTTCTTTCTCTCTTTCTCTCTTTCTCTCTTTCTTTCCTTCCTTTCTTGACAGAGTCTTGTTCTGTGGCCCAGGCTGAAGTGCAGTGGTGCAATCTCGGCTCACTGCAACCTCTGCCTCCCGGGTTCAAGCGATTCTCCTACCTTAGCCTCCTGAGTAGCTGGTATTACAGGCATGCACCACCATGCCCGACTACTTTTTGTATTTTTAGAAGAGATGGGGATTCACCATGTTAGTCAGTCTTCTGAACTCTTGACCTCATGATCCACCCGCCTCGGCCTCCCGAAGTGCCAGGATTACAGGTGTGAGCCACCGCACCCAGCAGTAAATTGATTTTTGTAAGGCAACCATAATATTTTTCAACTTTGAAACATTTCCTCTTTGATTATATTGGAGTAAATATGAGCAACTTATATACAAAAATATGAGACTATAAAATTCAGAGGGAGCAAAATCTTAAATGGTTAAGTTGTATTAGATGAAATATATTGTTTTTTTTCCTAGTATATATATTTTTGTACTTACAACTGAAATAATTTAGGCAATTTAATATTATTAGATATTTGATTATATGTCTATTTCTTGTATTTTAGAGAATGACTTTACTTTGTCATCCAGGCTGGAGTGCAATGGCATTCTCTCGGCTCACTGCAACCTCCGCCTCCCAGGTTAAAGTGATTCTTCTGCCTCAGCCTCCGGAGTAGCTGGGATTACGGGTGCCTGCCATCACGCCCAGCTAATTTTTTGTATTTTTCTTAGAGATCGAGTTTCATTCACTATATTGGCCAGGCTGGTCTCAAACTCCTAACCTTGTAATCCCCCCGCCTCAGCCTCCCAAAGTGCTGGGATTATAGGCATGAGCCACTGCACCCGGCCAATTTTACTTATCTTTAAATGGAATATGCTCATTATAAAAAGTCTAGGCAATACAGAAATATAAAAACAACAGGCCAGGCATGGTAGTCGCAACTGTAATAACAACACTTTGGGAGACCAAACCAGGAGGATCACTTGAGGCCAGGAGTTTGAGTCTAGCCTGGGCAACATAGTGAGACCATGTCTCTATAAAATTTTCTTAAAAAGTTAGCCAGGTGTGGTGGTGCATGCCTGTAGTCCAGCTAGGAGGATCAATTGAGCCAAGGAGGTCGAAGCTGCAGTGAGCTGTGATCATGTCACTGTACTCTAGCCTGGGTCAGAGAACGAGACCCTGTTATTTATCTTATATCTGGGCCTACTTAACCTCGCCAGAGATGTATCCCACTTGTGTAGACTTTGGCTACCACTGTGTTCTGGTAGATAGCAAATCCAGGTGATCCTTTCTACCTTAGCTGATGGTCCCGTAAAGACTTCCTTTTAACGTTTTTTTTTTGTTTGGTTTTTTTTTTTTTTGAGACAGTCTCACTCTGTCACCAGGTGCCAGGCTGGAGTATAGTGGCGCGATCTTGGCTCACTGCAACCAACCTCCACCTCCTGGGTTCAAGCAATTCTCCTGCCTCAGCCTCCCAAGTATCTGGGACTACAGCCACGCGCCACCATGCCCAGCTAATTTTTGCATTTTTTTAGTAGAGACGGGGGTTTCACCATGTTGGCCAGGAAGGTCTCGATCTCTTGACCTCATGATCCACCCGCCTCAGCCTCCCAAAGTGCTGGGATTACAGGCGTGAGCCACCATACCTGACCTCCTTTTGATTTTGTTCAACCTTTCTCAGTTCTGCTTTTCACTCTTCAGTCTGTCTGCAAATTATTAATTATTAGTGAGAATTCTCAAGATTTTGTTAGTTGACCATTTTTCCTCAATATTGCATCTTGTCTGGGATATAGAGACAATGTTAGAGATGGAAGGATAGGAGACAATCTCTTGCTAGCTAGCATGTGTAATGCCTTCGTGCAAATTAGAAAATACTGCTCTTTCAGGGAGAACAGGTCTTGCAGCTTGGCAAATGCACACAGGTTGACTCTCATCTCCAGTTTACCTCCTCAGCTAAGCACCCTTGAGCCAGGACAACTTACCTTATCATATGTATGATCCTTTTAGGATATGGTACTCATTCCACCAGAATTTATTTTTCTTGCTTTGTCTATCATTCTTAAGCATTAATGACATAATTTTATATCTTTTTGTTATTATATTGTAAATGTAGAATTTTGGGCTATTTTAATTTTTAAATTTTGTTAGATAATTGTGATCTTGTTTCAGTTTGCAATTGTTATTTGGAAATTCTTTTTTTTTTTTTCTTTTTTCTTTTTTTTAAGACAGGGTCTTGCTCTGTCATCCAGGCTGGAGTGCAGTGGCACAGTCCTGGCTCACTGCAAACTCTGCCTCCTGAGCGCAAATGGTACTCCTACATGAACCTCCTGAGTAGCTAAAACTATAGGCGTGTACCACCACACCCATCTAATTTGTGTATTTTTTGTAGAGATAAGGTTTTGTCATGTTGGCCAGGCTCCTACTCCTGGGCTCAAGCAATCCACTCCACTTGGCCTCCCAAAGTGCTGGGATTACAGGCATAAACTACCATGCTCGACCTAGAAATTTTTATACATGTGCTTTCAAATAGGATATTGTGAAGCATATTTTTTTAGTTGCTGTTCTGCTTACATATGAAGCTTTTTTTTTTTTGAGACGGAGTTTCACTCACCCAGGCTGGAGTGCAATGGCCCTATCTCGGCTCACTGCAACCTCCACCTCCTGGATTCAGGCAATTCTCCTGCCTCAGCCTCCTGAGTAGCTGGGATTACAGGCACGCGCCACTATGCCCAGCTAATATTTTGTATTTTTAGTAGACACAGGGTTTCACCATGTTGACCAGGATGGTCTCGATCTCTTGACCTCGTGATCCACCCGCCTCGGCCTCCCAAAGTACTGGGATTACAGGCGTGAGCCACCGTACCCGGCCGAAGCATATTTTTTAATAATAATCTTTTTTGTTCTTCATTAGTGAAGAAAATACTTTCCTTAATATATTTAGTACCAATATTTGTATTGTAGGAAACAAACACCATTGTTTGATGATGATTTTTTATTTCTTCATTGTTAAATGTGTCTGATCTTTATAAAAATGTGTTTTTTCAATATTAATTTATAAGTTGTTTAAAATATTATCTTTTAAAATATTGCTTTAGGAGTATCTGATTTTAATCTTCGTGTTGCATTGCAAACACTTTTGAAAGAGTACTGTGAAGTATGCAAATCTCCCAAAGAGAATAAGTTTTGTAGTTTTCTGCAGACATCTAAGGTTCGACCTCGGAAGAAAGCAAGAAAGTACCTGTATGCAGTAGGTGAGAGCCCTTAAGTAATAGAAATTATATTTGTGTTCCGGATCAAACCTTTTTAATATTTTGTTGTTATTACTATACATGTCAGAATATGTGGGTGTATTGAAGAGGCATATTTAATTTCACATACAGACTACAGATTCATATACTGAATTTATATGTTATGATAAATACATCTAAAAAGAAATAGCTGTTCATTTGATATCTGTTATTCTGTGATCTAAACCTTTGAGTTCGTAGATTACCCAGTTATCAAATAAGTGACTAAAGAAGTACTGCTTTAAAAGTAAAAAATTTGAATTCTTATGAAAAATAAAGAAAATGAATCTCAAGTTTTTAAACTATTCACAGTATCTTAGTCATTAGGAGTTATAGGCACCAGTGATCTCCAAAGTGTGGTCATAAAGGATGATCCACAGGAATATCAGAGGAACATATTACAACTTCTTTTCATTTTTATTTTAAAAAGTATTAAATTTAGGCTGGGCGTAGTGGCTCATGCCTGTAATCCCAGCACTTTGGGAGGCTGAGGTGGGTGGTTCATAAGGTCAGGAGTTTGAGACCAGCCTGGCCAGCATGGTGAAACCCCATCTCTACTAAAAATATAAAAAATTAGCCAGGCATGGTGGCACACAGCTGTAGTCCCAGCTACTCAGGAAGCTGAGGCAGGAGAATTGCTTGAACCCAACAGGTGGAGGTTGCAGTGAGCTGAGATCACACCACTGCACTCCAGCCTGGGTGAGAGTGAGACTCCGTCTCAAAAAAAAAAGTATTAAACTTACATCTGGTTGTGGTGACTTATGGACTGTAATCCTAGCACTTTGGGAGGCTGAGGTGGGAGGATTGCTTGAGCCCAGAAATTTAAGACCAGCCTAGGCAACATGATGAGACCTGGTCTCTACAAAAAAAATACAATTGGCCGGGCACGGTGGCTCATGCCTGTAATACTAGCACATTGGGAGGCTGAGGCAGGTGGATCACGAGGTCAGGAGTTCAAGACCAGCCTAGCCAAGGTGGTGAAACCCTGTCTCTACTAAAAATGCAAAAATTAGCCAGGCATGGTAGTGGGTGCCTGTAATCCCCACTACTCAGGAGGCTAAGGCAGAGAACTGCTTGAACCCGGGAGGTGGAGGTTGCAGTGAGCCAAGATCACACCACCGCACTCCAGCCTGGGAGACAGAGTGAGACACAGTTAAAAAAAAAAAAAAAAGAAAAAATGCAAAAATTAGCCTGGTGTAGTGGGGTGTGCCTGTAGTCCCAACTACTTGGGAAGCTGAGGTGGGGGGATCACTTGAGCTGAAGAGACAGAGGTTGCAGCGAACTGAGATTGTACCACCGCACTCCAGCCTGGGCAACAGAGCAAGACCCTGTCTCAAAAAATGAGAATAAAAGCATTAAACTTTATCAGCATTTAAAACATATATAATATATAGATACATATACAGATTGTCCAGATCTGTATATATAATACAGTTTTCATAGAAGTACTTTATATATGATATAATTTACATGTATGTATAATTATATATGTATTAATATTTAAGTATAATGCTTTTGGCTACATGTTAAAATTTTTTTGCTGATTGGATGTGTAGTCAAAGCAAGGATTTCATCAGGAGGCTGATGGGGGAGGATCGAGGCTACAGTGAGCTGTGATCACATCACTGCACTCCAGCCTGGGCGAGAGAGCAAAACCCTGCCTCAAACACACACACACACACACACACACACACACACACACACACGGCTTTCAACTCACTATTTTTAATTGAAAAAGACACCAATGAAAGTTATAATGAAACTTTCCTATCTTAACAGATAAGCAATATCTAGATTTATATTTCATATAATATTCTATTTATAACCAAGACCAAGTGGTAATACACTGAGGCTAACTTTCGTTTTTTTTGTTTTGTTTTGTTTTGTTTGAGACTAATCTTCTTACTGTATTTAAGCCACAATCATTCAGGAATTGGCACATTTAAGAATATTACATTATGGCCAGGCACGGTGGCTCACTTTGGGAAGCTGAGCTGGGTGGAACACTTGAGGTCAGGAGTTCGAGACCAGCCTGGCCAACATGGCAAAACCCCAACTCTACTAAAAATACAAAAATTAGTCTGGCGTGGTGGTATATGCCTGTAATGCCAGCTACTTGGGAGGCTGAGACAGGAGAATCTCTTGAACCCAGGAGGCAGAGGTTGCAGTGAGCCAAGATCGCACCATTGCACTCCAGCCTGGGTAACAGAGTGAGACTCCATCTCAAAAAAAAAAAAAGAATTACATTATAAGTATATAGAGAAAGTAAGCTCTAAACCATTTATTTCTTGCTATATAATAGTTAAACTAAATGTTTACATGTGGAATGCTAGATTTTCTTTACTACCATTTTTATATTTAATAGTAAGAGATTTGCTGTGTACTCCCTTTTCTTCTTTTGTTTAGGTGGATATACTCGGTTACAGGGGGGTCGTTGGAGTGACAGCAGAGCCCTCAGCTGTGTAGAACGTTTTGACACCTTTAGCCAATACTGGACCACTGTGTCTTCACTTCATCAGGCTCGAAGTGGGCTGGGAGTAACAGTTCTGGGAGGGATGGTCTACGCTATTGGAGGTAATAATAAAAATGTCTTATTTTCCTTATTGGTCTTGTTGGCTATATTCTAATATGCTTTATATATTGCTATGTGATATACATATATCTCATTGTCCTTAATAAGTATTTACTAAAGAAGAAAGAAAGAAAGAAGAAACACAAGTTGTTGAATATTTCATATCAGATGAATATTGTGATTTATCACAGCCAGAATACTTAGGTTTGGTTTTAATGAAAAGTTGTGGCTGGATGCTCACACCTGTAATCCCAGCACTTTTGGAGGCCAAGGCGGGAGGATCGCTTGAGCCCAGGACTTTGAGATCAGCCTGGGCAATATAGTGAGACTGTCTCTACAAAAACTTTAAAAGTTAGTATAGTGGCACATTCCTGTAGTTCCAGATACTTGTGAGGATGATGTGGGAAGATAGCTTGAGCCCAGGAGTCAGAGGTTTCAGTGAGCCATGATAGTGCCACCGTATCCAGCCTGGGTGACAGAGCAAGACCTTCTCTCAAAAAAGAAAAGAAAAGTTGTTTGTAAAATGTGACACCTGGCCAGGTGCAGTGGCTCATGCCTGTAATCCTAGCACTTTGGAAGGCCAAGAAGGGAGATCACCTGAGATCAGGAGTTCAAGACTAGCCTGGCCAATATGGTGAAACCCTGTCTCTACTAAAAATACAAAAAAATTAGCCAGGTGTGGTGACAGGCATCTGTAATTCCAGCTACTTGGGAGGCTGATGCAGGAGAATGTGAGAGGCGGAGGTTGCAGTGAGCCAAGATCGCGCCATTGCACTCCAGCCTCGGCGACGAGAGAAATTCCATCTAAAAAAAAATAAATGTGGCCAGGCGCACTGGCGCGTGCCTGTAGTTCCAGCTACTCGAGAGGCTGAGGCTAGAGGATCTTGAGTCCAGGAGTTCTGGGCTGTAGTGCGCTGTGCCGATAGGGTGTCCGCACTAAGTTTGCATCAATATGGTGACCTCCTGGGAGCGGGGGACCACCAGGTTGCCTAAGGAGGGGTGAACCGGCCCAGATCGGAAACAGAGCAGGTCAAAACTCCCGTGCTGATCAGTACTGGGATCGCGCCTGTGAATAGCCACTGCACTCCAGCCTGGGCAACATAGCGAGACCCCGTCTCTTAAAAAAAAAAAAAAAAAAAGTGGCACCAAAATTTAGATCAATATCTATTATTGAAATTTCTTAAATTCTGAAAGCTGCATTATGATTCCTTTTTAATAAACAAAGTTGTATGGATACTGGATATTTAAAAATCAAGTCAACAAGATAGTAGGATATATTTCTTTTTTTTTTCTTCTTATTCTCTTTTTACTTCTTACTTTTCAGGTAATTCGGGTGGCTTGCATTGGAAAGTAGGATATATTTCTTGATTGAAATCATGGTGTTTTGTAAAACCAATTTTTTTTTTTTTTGAGATGGAGTTTTCCTCTGTCACCAGGCTGGAGTGCAGTGGTGTGATCTCAGCTCATGGCAATCTCTGCCTCCCGGGTTCAAGTGATTCTCCTGCCTCAGCCTCCCAAGTAGCTGGGATTACAGCCAGGCACCACCACGCCCAGCTAATTTTGTATTTTTTTAGTAGAGATGGGGTCTCACCATGTTGGCCAGGATGGTCTCAATCCCCTGACCTCGTGATCCACCTGCCTTAGCCTCCCAAAATGCTGGGATTATAGGCATGAGCCACTGCACCCAGCCATGTAAAACTATTTTTATGAATTATGAAATAATAAAGTAACTTGGACCATAGGCAAGCATCACCATGCTTGGCTCATTACAAATTTTTATTTTTTAGAGATGGCATCTCACTATCTTGCCCAGGCTGGTCTTGAACTCCTGAGCTTAAGTGATTCTCCTGCCTCAGCCTCACAAAGTGCTGAGATTACAGATGTAAGCCATGGCACCCAGCCTGTATATTTAAAAAATTATAATTATTTTATTTTTATTTTATTTATATTTTTAGTGGGCCAGGGTTTGGTAAGCCATCCCTGTTCAAAAATTTTATAAATATTTTCTAACCATGGTACTGTCAGTTTAAATTATGAGAGATATAGGAAGTATTTGATTTTTGTTTTTATTTTGGAGGATATGTAACTCAGAACTATTTATTAAATCAAGAAATGACATGTACATCAGAAAATTCCAACAAAGAAATTAGAATTTTTTTTTTTTTTTTTTGAGACGGAGTTTCACTTTTGTTACCCAGGCTGGAGTGTGATGGCGTGATCTCGGCTCACCGCAACGTCCGCCTCCTGGGTTCAGGCAATTCTTCTGCCTCAGCCTCCTGAGTAGCTGGCACGCGCCACCGTGCCCAGCTAATCTTTTGTATTTTTAGTAGAGACGGGGTTTCACCATGTTGACCAGGATGGTCTCAATCTCTTGACCTCGTGATTCACCTGCCTTGGCCTCCCAAAGGGCTGGGATTACAGGTGTGAGCCACCACGCCCAGCCAAAATTAGAATTTTAAGCAATAAGTTTCTATCTGCATAAAGACCACAATTCTATATAGACTTTGACTACAACTGTAATAATTCCTTTGATGTATTTTTTGTCAATTGTGCATAGTTTTATCACTTGAACTCTTCTGTTTAACTTAGGGTCACAGTGTCCTTGTGTGACAGTTGCGTATGTATGTATTCCCTCTCCAGATATCACAAAAGTGCTTACAGAGGCTCTTCAAAACTGCTGTGACTTTGCTAGCTGTTAATACTGTCAACATTGCTATCTTAAGATATTCCTTAATACATAACTTTTAAATAATTTTTTTTTTCTGAGACGGAGTCTCTCTCTGTTGCCCAGACTGGAGTGCAGTGGTGTGATCTCAGCTCACTGCAACCTCCACCTCCCTGGTTCAAACCGTTCTCCTGCCTCAGCCTCCCAAGTAGCTGGGATTACAGATGTGTGTCACCATGCCCATCTAATTTTTGTATTTTTAGTAGACACGGGGTTTCACCATGTTAGCCAGGATGGTCTCAATCTCTTGACCTCGTGATCCACCTGCCTCAGCCTCCCAAAGTGTTGGGATTACAGGCATGAGCCACCACGCCTGGCCTATATATTTTTAAAATTATAAAAGTAATTCAGGTTTGTTGTAGAAAATTTTGCTAAAACAGAAGCATATGAAAAAGAAAATTTAGGCTGGGCACAGTGGCTCACACCTGTAATCCCAGCACTTTGGGAGGTATCGGTGGATGGATCACAAGGCCAGGAGTTTGAGACCAGCCTGGAAAATGTGGTGAAACTCCGTCTCTACTAAAAATACAAAAATTAGCCAGGTGTGGTGGAGGGCACCTGTAATTCCAGCTACTTGGGAAGCTGAGGCAGAGAATTGCTTAAACCTGGGAGGCGGAGGTTGCAGTAAACCAAGATCACACCACTGCACTCCAGCCTGGGCAACGAGTGAAACTCCATCTAAAAAAAACCAAAAATTCAAATCCCTCATGCCATAGTACCCAGAATAATCAGAGTTAACATTTTGGTTTAGTTTTTTCCCAATACATACCTATCTGGGTTCGTATTCTAAATGTTGGTCTTGTTTTTTTTTTTTTTTTTTTTTTTTAATATGGGGTTTCACCATGTTGGTCAGGCTGGTCTTGAACTCCCGACCTCAGGTGATCCGCCCGCCTTGGCCTCCAAAGTGCTTGGATTACAGGCGTGAGCCACCACACCCGGCCTTCTAAATGTCGGGTTTTAAAAATTAAGATATAATTCACATACTAAAATTTATCATTTAGAGAATATAGTTTAGTGGTTTTAGCGTAGTCACCAACTGTGCAGCTGTCACCACTATCTTATTCCAGAACATTTCAGCACCCCAGAAAGAAACACTGTGCGTGTTAGCAGTCACTCCCCATCTCTCCTCCCAAATCCTAGTAACCACTAATCTACTTTATGTCTCTATGGGCTTGCCTATTCTGAACATCTCATATAAATGTACAATATTGTGTCTGACTTCTTTCACTTAGCATGTCATAACACATGTCAGTTCTTCATTTCTTTTTATGGCTTAATAATATTTCATTGTGTGGAAATAATCATATTGTGTTTATTCGTTATGTAGTGGTAGACATTTACATTGTTTCCACTTAACATTCAAGTAAAAGTTTTGGTGTATACACATTTGATTTATTTTGGGTATATACTTAGGAGTGGAATTGTTAGGTTATATGGTAACTGTATATTTAACTTTTTGAGATCTATATTGTTATTAACTTCTTTTTTTGTTTTTTATTTACTTAAAAATATTTATTTTTATTTATTTATTCTTCTGAGATGGAGTCTCGCTGTTACCCAGGCTGGAATGCAGTGGTGCAATCGCGACTCACTGCAACCTGCCTCCTGGGTTCAAGCAATCCTTCTCGCTCAGCCTCCTGAGTGGCTGGGACTACAGGTGTGTGGCACAATGCCCAGCTAATTTTTTGTAGTTTTAGTAGAGACAGGGTTTCACAGCATTGGCCAGGATGGTTTCAATCTTACGACCTTGTGATCTGCCTGCCTCGGCCTCCCAAAGTGCTGGGATTGCAGGTGTGAGAGCCAGTGTGCCTGGCCGGGAGAAGATTTTTATGAATCCGTGTATAGAGATAGACCTCATTTAAAAATTTTTTGTTTACAATATTTCAGAATTTGGAAATGGTGGAATATATTTAACTTCTTGTATTGATGGACCTTTAATTTATTTCCAGATTCTTGCTACTGCAAGCAATGTTCCAGTGAACATCCTTATAGGTATCTCCTCATGCATGTGTATGAGCATTTCAGTAGGATATAAGTTGAGAAAGGAAATTGACGGGTTAGTGATTAAGTACAATTTTAGTTTTTTCTTTCTTTTTTATATCCAAAGAGTCACTTCATGAAGGACAATTTTAGTTTTTATAGATAATACCAAGTTACCTCCACCAACAATAAATGAGATTACCTGTTTCTTTACTCTTTGCTAACACCATATATAATCAAACTTCTTAACTTTGCCAGTCTGATAGGTAAAAAATAGGATCTCTTTTTTTTTTTTTA